TACCCTCTATTGATGAAACATGAAACATGCATCGATGGGATGCAGGTTTTGACAGCAAACAAAAGGTGTGACCTCGAATACGAAGGGGTTTTCCTTCATGTCCCATATGCTTTGGTGGGATACTGTGTACATTCGTAGGTGGGAGTGCCAAAAAAACAACTTCTCGTCAAATTTTAGCGTGGTTGGTTGACGGGGTGCAGGTTTGGACTCGAAAAATTAGATATTATGTCAAATGAAAAGCTAACATTTAAACTTTGTAAGGAAATCAACGCCTAATTAGATATCCTAAGTAACAGGAGCGTTGTCTATGGTCCAAGTTGAGATTACTAACTGCAATTAAATTGAACCTATGAAGAGGCCCCTTGAGCCTTAAATATACAATTTATTATTATTATGAGTGGCATCCGTATAGCATTCGCCGTTAAACGTGGCCAACTTCTGTTTTGTTTGGATACTACGACTCTTTTGTTTCGATATAACGTCAGAGCTGGCTAAGGGAACTTTGGTTCTGGTATCAACTCAACCTCCAAGCGGGCGGTTGTCCACCAGGACCAACATATAGGAGGGAAAGGTACTTTTATGCATAGAAGAACAGAAAAGTAAACAATGTATGCCTAAATCTTCATTAAATAGATGGCGTGATGGTGGTGAGCAGAGGGCGTTGGCCACCTTCTTTCTGTGGTCTAAAGACGTTTTGTTGTTCTTTTGGTGCGTAGGAAAATTCCGTATGTCTGAAGTCATCTCTCGGTCGTCGACAGGAAGTGTTATAACTCGCCGATAGAAAAACGCTATTTATTACACCCTTGCCTATCAAGTTGCAATAATCTTGACGCCATTTGCGGGGCAAATTTTAAGGTCACCTAGAGTGTTTTGTTGGAGGGGGTAGTATACCTCGTCCGAAATAAGAACCTATTTTAAATGATATAGCACCACTTAGACTTTGTCGGCATTTGAGAGCGAGTAATATGAACCAGTCGCTAGTTTTATCAGATCTGCTGCGAAGAGGTTTGGAGATTCTCTATCCCCCAAACCAAAAGCCGGTTTTTGGCATCTTCAACAGCCAATCGGAGCTGAAACAGCTGTAAACGTTGATCGCGTAAAAATGCAAGAGAAACAGTAACACTGCGCCCAACGTCATGTGCTTCATGCAATTGATCATCAGCCTAGTGTTTTAAAACAACTCCGCTGCTCTCAGCATGTGAGACATCGTCCAAATAGAAGCATAATGTACATAATGTACATAGTCAAATTTTCTACTAGCACTCATAATGATATTTAAAACAGTTTAGTCAAACCTTCGTCTAAATACCCACGACAACCTTTTGCGTGAGCTGTACGGTGGCAGTGGTCACGTACGTTATGCGCATACGGACACTACACAGTATATCTGAGCCAGTTCCTTGCTTCTCGATGCTCACCGATCATAACTCACTGCGTAAACCCAGCCGCAGTGCTCCGTAGGCATGCATTCAGCATCGCCCATACATGATTAATTTCAAGCGAGCCACTAAAGGAAATCGAATCAGTGGCCTCTGGTTCAGAAGAATGGGAATTGAGTTAACGAAAGGCGACAAGTTTTTAAATTCCTGGTGTATGCGTGAGTAAAGAAGAACAACACTGGACAATCGCCAGAACCCTTCGTCTATTCTTCTGCGTTTTTCAATTCGCGCCGGGCTCCATTGTCAAAGATAAATACGGCGAAGGACCAATCCGCAATTTTAAAAGGCATCCGCCAGCCAAACTTCAGCGACACAGGTCTGGAGATGACGGAGCAAGGCTCCGTATGTCTACACTAGATCGATACATCGATCTTAATCCGAGACGCTCGTCTTACTTCTGACGTGAACGATTATCTTGGCGGCTGCGAGGTTAGACCCGTGACCTGTTTCGAAGGTGTACACAGCTGCTTGCACTAATTCGTCACGCAGTCACCTACTGTTTGTGTATACGCGATCCAAATATGCGTCCAGTCTGACCTGTGTAATTCTGGAGAACGTCTAGACACGAAATGCGATTCAATACACCCGACGCGAAAGCCTCCTCCTCCTCACGATCCACCTGCAGGTCAGCATCTTCCAACAGGGAGAGTAACACGTCTGCAAGAAGTTCCAGGAAAAGGACATTAGCAACGGTTGCCTCGAAAAACGCCTTCATGTGGTGCACACACACTTCTCGAAGACCTGCACAGTTCGCGAATTTCCAGCGTTACGAGAGGTTATTATTCTGAAGTCTTTGGCGCTTAACAATGCACAGATTAGCAAAGCAGGCTACCTGGTAGGTAAAACAGTATCAGCCCAATCTTCCACGCAGGGCAGCGACAACCGTTTCGCTAACCAAATTGGACGTAAGTGGCATTTGCAAACTATCACATGTGACGTTTTGTCTGTTTTACTGTTATAAATAAGTTTCACCTCTTGGTTTGCGCCATTCGCTGTTGGTACTTGTTGATGTTATCGCAGTTTTTTTCAATTCCCTGCCTCTCCTGATGGGAGACAGTTAGCTAGTTAAAGTTTTCCTAAAGCCCACCCCATTCGTGCCTCTGCACATACCTGTTTTATATACGCGAAAATATTCGAGGTCCAGTTATAATATTGCTTTCATTCTCCCCGGAAGAGGAAGAAGAAGACGGGACAATTTATAAGACCAAGGTGTATTTATGCTAACGTTTCGAAAGCATCCTCGCTTCCATCGTCAGAGCGTAATGCCTACTCTCCTGCTGCTGTCAAGTGAGTGTGTCTAACCGATGGCCGTGCCTGATGCCCGCGTGTCGATCGATTGTACCGATCGATTGTTGGTGGCTGTTTGAATTGTTCACGCCCTTGCGGGCGCCTC